GAGGCCTGACTGAAGCCTGGCAGCCAGCCACTTTGCACGGCCATGGCTAGCAGAACACTGAGCAAGGACTGAACACCCTGGGCCTCAGCCTGTCCCACATGGCGGGGACCATGGGCGACTGTGTGTAAGAGGCAGTGGTTTATAATAGCAACTGAAGCCAGCATCTGAGTGCTCACCTCGTTTTGGGGTTCTGGTGCTGGTGCCTCAGGACACATCTGGAGAGGCACCTACCACATTGGGAATAAGGAACTTCCAGGGTAGGGAGGAATCCCACTGAGCCCCTCACAAGGTGTATGGCATTTAACCAGCACGAGTGAATCTGGTACTTCTATTGCCCTTTTGCTGATGGGGAAACTGAAGCTCTGTGAGATTCAGGACCTTATCTGAGCTCCTCAGCTGTCAAGAGGTGATACAGGGGTATGAGACAGGTGTTCTTAACCACCCTCTGCCTCCCACAAATTCTGGACCCTCCCCAGATCAGGAATAAACAGAGCAGACCATCTGTGGCTGGGCCTCCTGATCTCAGCCAGAGCTGCTGGAGGATGGCAGCATGTGAGGGCCATGCCTGCCAGTCCTGAGCTTGGTGGAAGGTATCTCAAGTCAGGTCCACCCTTGCAGACTCCCCACCCCTTCTGTGGGCCCACCGTATATGAGAGACTCACCCATGGGCCCCAGGTTGGGCCCGGCTGCCGAGCTGTGGGGAGGAGGCTGGCCCACCAGCTGGTTGACCGAGGGCAGCTTGTTGACACCCCCGTGTACCTTGTTCATGGGCGAGAGGACAGGCCCATAGGAGGGAGGCTGCAGGTGGCTCCTGCTCAGAAAGTGACAATGTGAGTAGGTAAGAAGCCAAGACAATGTCATCCCCCAGTTTTCCAACATGTCCACAGACACCCATGGTGTCCCTGTGTCAAGGACAGCAGAGACCTTGACTCCTCTTGGCAATGCCAGACAGCTTCCTGCTCACCCAGCCTCCCTGCCCACAATCTGGCCAGGCACAGCCCTGGGGCAGCTATTGAGTGGGACCCTGGCCATGGCTGGGGGCAGAGTACATCTCGTGCCATTGGAATCAGCCTCCAGGCTTGCTCATAACCAGCCCCTGCTCATCTCTCCTCCGCAGACACTCTCCAGGCCTTAGTGTGAGATATGCAGTGAGGATTGTGACCAGGGCCCCAGGGCAGTGCCCCAGAGGAGGGGGTGCTGAGCAGAGCCCTCTGAGCTCCCTGGCCCTCGCTGCTGATACTTTCGGGGGGTGGGGGGTGTCTCTGGTGCTCCTGGTATTCTCTCTGCCCAGGCGGGTGGTCAGGAGGATGCTGGGCGGGCTCCGTGGGGCTGACTCACGGCCTCTGCAGGAGCTGCTGCTGCTGCTGCTGCCGGTAGGAGTCGACCAGTGGCTGGGGGACCAGGTTCATCAGCTCCCCGCTCCTCTT